GGGGAATGTTGAGTGGGAGGTTCCTAATACAAACGACTAGACTTTGAGTAAACGTCTTCAAAAATTGAATGAAATTAGAGTGAAAATGAGAATAAATAGTTTATACCATTTTATCTCGAATTTCCAAATTGTTTGAATCTGCTAAATTGGCAATGGTAAATTTCAAAATTTAGAAGCTCTATGTGTTTAAAGATATCATTTAGGGTATATTTGATGCACATCTACAGCACATCACAATTTATTTAATGTAATCAATGATTGTTTGGTACATTCAACCCACATAGATGACTAAAAAATAAAATATATTCATATCCACTTTATCAGGGGGAGAATAAAAGATTTAAATACTGTATGAGGATAATATAATAGGACCGATTAGAGCAAAATTAACTGAGTGATTGAAATAGAAATATGGACGAGGCCTAAGTTCGCAAAATTGAAAACAGTTCAAGTCGCATAAATATAAGAATAATACTTAAGGTTGGAGTAAGGAGGTTTTACAAAAAAGAAAGAGAAGACTGAAATGATGAGTAATATATGATTTGCGGCAGCTCTTTAAAAAGTATTTAATAACACAATTAAACCACGCTTACTCTATTTACACATGTTACGTAATGCGCCAGGGTGTTGGGTTGTAAGCCTTTGTATAGTTATTTATTAATGACAGAGGTGTAACAGAATATAATAGTAGAGTATAAAGCATTCGATATTATTGCATAATTAATATAATTAATGTTTATATGCCTCTGAGACTCTTGCTTAATTTCAAATATCAAATGGTCAAATTAGCCTACAATATCAGTTGCCAGCGATCTGTGGGATCAAATAGTGAAATAAGGAATGGTAACGAAAAGAAGCAATATAGTAAAGAGTGCAAGTACATGCCAAAGATGGAAAATTGTATTACTTAAAGCTAATAAATAAGCGAAAAATTTATTATAAATCAAAGTTACCTCGAATGTTACAGTCCTTGCATATGAGGAAGGGATCCTCTCGGGTCGATGGTTGATCGCATCTACAGCAGGTTCCAAGTGAAGGAGAACGTGGTGTAGATTCCAAAGTCTTAGATATCATTCTTCTCTCGGATGAATCTGGCGAGAATGCAACCATACGCGATGGTTCCCGATCAGATATTCCCTGAATATTTTCGACAAATAAGCACGGACTTGGGCAGCTCATATGTGGCCGCAAAGAATCACTAATAGAAGCTTCATTTGAGCCGGAATGTGAAGATGATAAAGATGAAGAGGGAGGATTAGTGGAATTTGGAGGGGTAGAACAAGCAACTTTATCGGAATTGTCTTTGATACCCGTGATGTCAATAGACGTTGCTTGAGATGCCGTTATTACCATGCCTGAAGTTGGTAAAATGGAGGAAGTGTTAGACAATGGAGAAGAGGGAGCTGCGGCAACAGCTTCTGTAGGGGATGGGACTAAAGGAATAGAATGGGCAGAAGAACCGAGTAGGGATGGGAGAGGGCATGTCATACTAATTGAATAAGAGTGTTGGTTCGGTGAGACGAACACGCCACTTTGCATTGGGGAGCAGGCCAAATGAGAACACCCATGAAGAGGGGGTTGTGGAGGGGTGACAGTATGGGGCGACACAACAGAAACAGGTGGAGTTTGAGAGGGATGAGGTTGTGAAATGGGGAGAGGCGGAGTCAGTGTTACAAAGCTTGGACTATTAGAAGCAGGATGAGGGGTTAATGGGGCCGCCGATGAGATGTAATGTTGGTTACCTGAGGGTATTGAATGGAAAGAAACGGTCGAATGATAGAATTGAGGCCCCGTTGGGTTTGTATGACTGTCATAATATAATGGCGTTGAAGGGTCTGTACAAGAAGAAAGTGGAGTAGAGGTTGGAATGAGACTGTTGAGATGATTTATGCTATTAGAAGCATTTAGTGAAGGAATGTTGCTTGCCGTTAACAGCCCAGCAGGGCCACCAGGACTACCAGTAAAACCAGAGACAACGGTCAGAGATGTCCCCATGGGGATGGGATGCGGCTGGGTTGTTGAGAGGGCCGGAAGAATTGAAGTAGATATACAGGCTGGATTAGAAATGCATGCAGCTACTGAAGAAGACGATGTAGCAGATGTCATTGGAGGAAGCTCAATTTTATTTCTCTAAAATAAGAGTACATAAATTAAGCCAAATAAAAAAAGTAAACTTTAATAATATAGGGAAAAAGATAAGGATAAAATTATGTCGCTCCTTTAGAAAGAAAAGATGTAATGAAATTCAGAATCAATAATGGACCAGGCACGATATCTATCCCTCACATCGTTCGTTTCTACTCTCTCTAATTATAATCCAGACGAATACACATAAATAAACCACGCCAATCTTCTCACATTCCTCTCCATTGCTCTTCTCGCTGCTCCTCTTACTCCCTATTCTCTTCTCCCTCCTCACTATGCTACATTCTCCTCGCCACTCTTTCCTCACGCCTCTGTAGCCTTTTCTCATCCAATCCTATTTATGCCTAGCATCCCCAAGATTTATTCTTCATCCTATCCTCTTTCTCTTATCTCCCCTCTTCACTTTCCACTATCCTCAAAACTATTTTCTACAACCTGTCTTTTCCTCTCCTACTTTCAGCTGTCATATTCATCTATGCTCGCTCTCACGTCTTCGCAACTTCCTACATATACCTCATTCCTCTATACTTTTAGCCTTTCTCCTTTTCCTTCTCTTTCTTCACACATTATAAGTTCGTAGCTCATCTCTCCACAAACTTCTCTCTATGCGCCTTTCTACCAGAGCATCTAATATTCAGCCTCTCATCGATGCACCCTCATATATCCTCACTCCGCTCCTCTCAACTCCCTCCCATACTACACTACTAAACATCCACATTCTCTCCATTTAGCTCACTTCTAGTTTCCCTCCACACACCTCTCTTCTCACAATTCATCTTTACTCTCTTCCTGTTCAGCCCATATGCCTCCCATCTACTCTCTACTCTTTATTCTTTCCACTGCTTTATAATTGTTCAATTCTGCCTAGGCATTGCACCTCCCCTCACTATCCCCACTTCGCTTCTCTTCTATATCTTCATTCGCCCTTCGTTATTTTGCTTTCAATTATTTACAAGCGTATTTATGAGTATTCCTGTGAAGTATTAGCAACCTAATAGTTAATTGAACTTTCATTCTTTGTTCACATGAAACTTAATTATTCGTCATATTTTGACTAATCTACGGGACTCTATAGGCCTTACCAAATCTGTCTAGTTGTGCAATTTATTCATTAAGCCATTGCCTTGTAATTTTGACACTCTTTTATTTCATTTTGCCATTGTTAATCTGCAACGCATATTCAATAATATTCGCATAAACAATGGCCCACGAAAGAATCGTAGTACCTTTCCTTCGTTAAACCATGAAGCAAAATAAGGCATTTATGAGAAATAATAATTTCTGCAAATTAGCTTCATAGTTAG